GGCAGGCCCGCTGGCCGAGCCAGCACTCGACTGCCCGGTTCAGTCGACCGGCAGTCCGGTCCAGACCGGCTGGACCGGTTCAGTCAATATTCTTCAGATTCAGTCCCGGTTCATGATTTCAGTGTCATTTTCAATTAAAATTCCGGGTCCAGTTCAGTTCAATTAATTAATAACAGTTCAGTTTCGTACTTAACCGGTTTCAGTTATACCGATTAAGTCCGAATATCATGTCAGGTTCAGTAGAGCATCTTAACATAATTAATCAGTTAAATTATCAAGTCTGAGCATGGTCAGTAGTAATTGTTTATATTATATTTTAGTTTGATCAGGCATCAGCACTACCTTCAGTTTCACGGATCAGGTGGGGACTCAGACTAAGTACTACATTGATTATAATATCGCTACCATGTTTGAGGTATGTATTATCAGTATCCGCTCGGAATGGTCGCCGATCCATTCTGGGTTCTAGTGGCCTAATCTGCCCACTAGAGTGTGCACATGGTGTCCGGTATTAGTTTGTGCCGGCAGATTCCGGTATTAGCTTGTGCCAACAAATGTTCAGTTATCAGTTACGTGACTTATGTCGCGAGATCAGACCGGTATCAGATATCTGTTTCAGTTTCAGTTTCAGTTCAGTTATATATGCCAGGATCATGATATTGTTATTATTTTCAATGTTTACATTAGTATGAGTTTCTGCGGAGAACAAGTGTTTTAGTGCTCACGCCCCCACGTATTTCATGTTTTTCAGGTCACAGGGTCGGGAACGAGGAGTGAGCTGGCGGGCAGTTCAAGATATTTGTGGATATGTATATATATGTTTTGACCGCGCTGTTATTCCGCTAAAACTTTCAGTACTTTTAAACAGCTTTTGATCCGACTTTAGTCGGTTAATATATTATAACCGTTTTACTATCAGTTTAAAATTTAACGGTTTTCCGAAAAGTCAAGTTTTTCACGGTAGCATCCCGAATCAGTTTTCACAAAATTAATATTTTATTTATTAATTCAGAAAAAATTGCGAAAAATGCGTACTCTGATTTCAGTAAAAAGTCGGGGTGTTACAATTTAATGTCATCCGATTCATTTAGTTAGTTTTTTGAGCTACAAATGATAAAATATCGTTGTTGTTATTTTTTTAAACGTAATTATTTTTGTAAATATTGTTTTACAAACGATACAATCAAAAATCCAAATATCTGTTAAAACATAACAAAAACAAAATTGTTCTCTATATTGGAATGAATTTGGAATAAAAAAAGAGAATGATTGAAAAAAAAAAGATATACTCAAAATCCACACTTTAAGGTAACAACTTTTCTTATATTATATAAAATTAAACTTCACTAGATAAATTATATCTTTAGTATTTATCACAATAATACATGTTTACACTATAATTAGCATAACGAAAATCAACAAAAAAAACAAAAAAATAAATAAATAAAGTAAGAAGGTGTCTATGCAATTCGCAATTACCAAGTGCAATGTAACTTTGCATGGGAAAATGACGATATTTTTAATAATGAATGATTTTTTCATGATGAACATTTTACAATTACCTAACAAATACTCTATGTATTATAACTTATTGATTAATAATTTAATTATAAATTTTACCAAAACAAATACAGCCCGTGCATCACACGGGGTTACGTACTAGTAAATATGGATAGTGATTCCAAATATTATTATTAATAAACAATAATTATAAATTGTATCATTCAAGTTAAATTGAATCAAACTTAGATATTATTTAAATTAAAAATATTTAAAATTGTATTATTTTAATTAAATAAATCAAAACAAAAGGCATGATGCAAATAAAAAAATGTAAGAAAAATTGGTTTTGTACTGATTTATTGGTTTCATTTTTTGTAAGTGGAAGACTTAAGAAATTCTCAAAACCATTTGAAGGTGAATGAGAAATTAATTGTTTATCAATTTGGGCAATAAAATCTGATTTTGTTCTAGTTTGTACTGTTGGGCTTGTGATTGTTTATCACTCCATTACTTTGTGTTGGGCCCACTTTAGTCTGTCAAATTTTGCAGAGGCACGTTAAAACCCACCAACTGAACCTGCAAAAAATTCATTTCACTCGTCTTCCTTTTTTACCCAACTTGCACATTTCAAATCAACCAAGCTGTCTTCTGATCCGTACACTCGCGATGTCTGACATATTCCTCCATAAAATTCCTCACCCACCTACAAATCGTATGGATCTCTCCCCACCAGAAAACTATCGGCTATACAACGTGAAGAAGACGTTGAAGGAAGGCCCGATTGGATACCTGAGGAAACAACGGAGAGCACCGGCAGCGTCTCCGTCACATCTCCGAAAAAGAAACGACTCCGGCCAACAAAGGTACGTGATATTCCTCTTCGATATCGAAATTGAAGCGTACTTGTCGTCAATTTTGTAAAGCCAGAAAGTTTGTTGTTAGCTGCTGCCCAATATTAATTTAGAATGTTTGGAAAAAAAATGTGCAAGATATGTTGATTTTTGTACATCATACTGCTCTTTTTATTACATCTTTTTATTTGGGGTTCTTACTCCATCACTATTTTCTTTTGAGTTGCCTCAACTATTCGAAAAATCAGCATGTTGATATGTCTTAAGTTTATTGTTCAAGTTTGGTTTCATGACATTGGGGGTTTTTAAGCACTGGGTAATTTGAGAGGACCGAAAACATGTTCATGTTATTTCGCTCTGCTGAATGTTGATTATTTCTTGTTGGAAAATTTTGAATCTCCCAACGGATTATAGGGATGTTACTTTTGATTTCTTCGTGCGTATCAGATAAAAAAACAATTGATTTTGCTTCATGTATCTCCAAATTTTTATATTCATTTGTACATGTGAAGTGTACCATACCACTTTGTAGTTGATTTGTTTTTATGCCACAATTGTAGATGTCATATACTGGTGGTACTGGTACTTCAACTGAGAATAGTCAAGGAGACGTGAAATGGCCTCCCGAAAATGAAGCCGCATTTGTGAGTGTTTTTGTTGGAAGAAGTTCACTTAGAAAACCGTGTAGCCGATAAGTTCACACCTAATCAATGGACGACCATTCTTGGGAAGTTGATTGAGCGGTGTCCTGTTTACTATTCTTATAAATTCGCTCAACTGCAAAGTAAGTACCAACGTATGAAAGTCTATTGGATAAGGTTTCACAACATAGTCACCAACGACACCGGATTGGGATGGAATCCACATAAAAAAAATGATTGAGGGGACCGATGAATTTTGGAGGCAATGGACAACTGTAAGTATTTTTCATCGACGGGTTATCATACAAATTGTTTTCTATCTTATTGGTGTTTTCAGGAGTGTTCTTTGGTTGACTTTGTTGTGACCTGTACTTCTCTTTTAATTGCAAATATAATATTGTAAGGTAATTTTATTGGTGGTTGTACATGTTAGACTGATTCCTTCATGAATCTTGTTTTCTTAATTTGAGCAGTATATTTTACTGGGGTCTGTTTCATTTGTGAATATTTTCCAGAGGCACGTTATTGGGGGATGTTTTTGTGTTATACTTCTCGTGTTAAAATTGTCATTTTTATGTCATGTGCACAGGCAAATGTAATGGATCATGACATGGAGGGTAAGGTGTGCCAGCATTATGAAGGCCTGACTACTATTTTTCACGGGACGACTGCTATGGGGTTTAATGTGAGGGCATCAACTCAATGGGTGGCCTAGGGACGAAGCATCGATGGTGACCCATTCAAAAATGTCAGCCACGAATTTGTTGCGGAGGAAGATGACGACCCGATGGTGACCCCGACATCTCACGCACGCCATGGTAGGCACTGGCGGTACGTTCATCCGAGGAGAGGCACAAAGTCTAGTTTCGACGCGACCATATATTCGTGGTCAGACTTGAATGTATCACTTAAGGAAAGAACAACAAACCCAAGCTAATGACAATGGAACAAGCTTTGCGCGACTTTCAAGCAATGCCGGATATGGATCCTGATCTTTTCCAGTTTGTTTGCAAGAAGTTGCGGGATCCCACCAATCGAGCAATGTTTGTGGCGATTAATAATGACGAGAGACGTCGTATTATTATTAAAATGTGGTTGGATGAGACCCCCGGTGATGCGTAAAGGTGGATGGGGAACTTTTTTATTGCTCGTTATTTCTTCTTGGATTTGTCTTTCTTCATATACTCTTCGAGTGGACTCTATTTATCTTTGTTTCGAAGCTACATTCACTATTGCCTGATTATGTTATAATTTGTTTGTGGACATTTGTATACGTGTATTTATTAGCAAATACATTTATTTGTAGGATGACTTATGTAGACGATAGTGACACACATGAGAAAGAGCTCGATGATTTGCCTGAAGAAATTGATAGTGATTTGGATCCAGTGGAAGACTATGATCCATTCGAAACACCCTTAATGGTGGGAGCTCATTTCAACAACTTGCACACATTTTCGAAGGTTCGTCGTCCGCATTTCCCCCTTAAGGAGAACCCCCTTCCGAGAATCCACTTACGTGGGTTTGGACTAGGTAAATGAACTATTAGTTGGAAATCCTCGTCGCTTTAAGGATGCAATGGGAATCCAACAATGTCATTTTAGAATCCTTTGTGACGAAATCAAGAGGGCGGGATTTCACGAACAAACAAGACAACAGAAAATAGGCATTGAAGAAAGCGTAGCCATTTTTCGTCATACAATAAAAGACCATCAAATGCAACGACATGCCGCAGAGACATTCAGACACTCGGGGGAGACGATTAGTCGTCATTGTCACAAAGTAATCAATGCTCTATGTTATCTAGACCTCAACTACATTCGTCCCCCAGACTTCAACCGTGTTGCACCGTGGATAAGAAATAATCGTAACTTATATCCGTACTTCAAGGTAAATATATCATTTTAACCCCTTCATTTTTGTGTCCTATACCGTATATTTTACACAATTACTTGTCTATTTGAAATTGTAATTGCTAATGTTAGGATTGCATTGGCACAATCGACGACACTATTATACCAGCGTGGGTGCCGGAAGGACAGCAGAGTTCGTACAGATGTATGAAAGGTTATTTAGCTCAAAATGTGATGTTGGCGTGTGATTTTGACTTGATGTTCACTTTCGTCCTAGCGGGTTGGGAAGGCAGCGCAAACGACGCACGTATTTTTAATCAAACTATGTGCGACCCCAGATATGATTTTCCATTTCCACCACCCGATAATTCCATCACGACACTATTCATATGCTATTATTTAGTTCATTAAATAAGAATGTATTTTATAAAATTTTTTCAAAGGTCCCTCGAAGTTTAGAACATATGTTAATGCAGGTAAATTCTATGTGGTGGACTCTGGATACGCAAACATCCCAGGTTTCATGACACCATATCATGGTGAAATATATCATCTTCTAGAGTGGCGGCCTACCCAGTTGCCCGACAATGCTCGTGAGTTGTTCAATAGACGAGATGCCACTGTTCGTAATGTGATCGAACGCAGTTTTGGTTTGCTAAAAGGGAAGTTTCCCAAATAAAGGGGTTAATGCAAAACTACATATTCACTCCCGAACCGACATAGTAATAGCATGTTGTGTTCTACACAATTTTATTCGGATGCACGAACTGCTCGAAAACATGCTGCCTGAATTCAGGAACCCAGAATACGTACGTCGACGTGATCCAAATGATCGTACTATACCTTTTATGTCCAAAAATAATAGCTCGAACCCCAACGTTGGTGACCATTGTGTGTTGTGTGACACGATAGCCCAAGAATTGTGGGCGAACCGAAGATAGAACATCGTTTGCCTTAATGTAACCCGAACACAACAACAATTGATGAAACCCGAAATGATATTTTGGGCCTACAATAGTATCGTTGTTTATTTCCTAAATTTGTATGTTGTTTATAAAATTTGTTTTACGTTGAAATTTGGTGCGTCTCCAACGAAGTTAAACGGAGGAATTACAACATGGTTGGGCGTAGCCATTTTTCTTCAATTTTAGTAGCCATTTTTCTTCAAAAAATAGTTCAAAATTGTAATAATAATAAAAAAAAGGTTGGGCGTAGCCATTTTTATAGCAGTCATTTTTTCTTTAATTTTAGTAGCCGTTTTTCTTCAATTTTAGTAGCCACGTCGGTAGTAGCCATTTACCCCAGCATGGTTCAAAAAAAAAAAGATAAACAAAAAAAAATTGTTGGCCATAACAATTTTTCTTCCTTGTTAGTAGTAATATGATCAATAAAATATTTATTTCCAATATTATACGGTCGTTGCGAGAAACCAAAAAATTCGACAGTTTCAGTTTATTTGAAATATGAAATAGCAGTACACATCAGTGGAGATTACAAATTGTTCCACAATGAAAGAAATGTCATTTATTTTAATAAATAGTTCAAAATATATATAACGCAACAATTGCCACAATTTCAAAAGTACATACGCGACAACAATCTCAATTTTCTCTCCTTCTTCTTTGGGCTGCAATACGTCTTTCTTTGGCCCAGTAGTCACGAACAACTTGGGCAAGTTTGCGATGGTTACGTTCATCTTTCGCCCTCAGTTCACAAGGATATGGGTCAAGCCCTAGGGGTTCGAAAATTATCTTCAATGTTTCTCATAGCGGCTCGAGATTGTTGTTACAATAATGATCTGCTAGTGCCCAAGTCTGAGATAATATGTACTTGAATTACACAGGCATGAATGAAATATTACCATATTATTACATAACAAATGGAGTTAAGACAATGTTTGTAATACAACATATTTATATAACCGAAAAAAAATGAAAAACGAAAATGGAATTGTGGTTCAATTTACGTACCTCAAGTGCTTCCTTCTGAATGTCCTCGTCAAGATAGATGATTTTTGCGTGTATGTCGAAAACACCCAATGGGCAATCCATAAAATATTTAAATGTTTGATACCTTCTTTTAATACCTTGAATGTGGTATAACATTATTTCATAGTCAAATTCTGGCTAATTTCACCTAAGCAACTTGTGTAAATGTTATCAAACGCCATATCTATGTACAACTTGGAGTTCAACCCTTTTGACTGGATGTAATGTAGAAGGATGGAACAAAAAGATTCTGTTATCATCCGAATCGGTAAATCAGGGTTATTAGCCGCAGACTGTATTTAAAAGAAATTATTACCAATAATGACGTGATCCACAATCATCTCGGTCCACATACCGAACCGACCAAGCTATAGAAGACCAAGCTAATCCTCGCAACCGAGGTCATTCCAGAACCGAAGTCAATATAAACCGAGGTCACCACCTCCTAAGCTGGTGACAAGGCGCCTACACGCCATTCTCACAAACCACGAGATCATGTGGGACCCGCTGACAAATGCCGCCCATCAAAAGTAGCTTAAAAAAAAAGGAATGCACGAATCCCGATATGTATCCCAAAAAGTTACTATAAATAGCAAACTCATGATACTTGTACGGGATTCGATCCCCGAACTGAAATTTTTACCATGAAACACGAAAAAGCTCACAGAAGCTTTTCACCTCGGTTCACCTCGGACCGGGGACATTGTTGAGTTTTTATCGCATATGTTACGTTCAAATCACTAAACTTAATCAATTAAATCTACTTTCGATCGTTGTTAACAATCTCATAACAACAGTTTGGCGCTAGAAGGAGGACCTCATAAGTTATTTGAGGTTAATCTCTGATTCTTGTGTTTGTTGCCCACATCAATCACTGCAACCATGTCTCATTCAGATCATCGTGGTCGTACATCGCGAGATGGCCGCAGTCGTAGTGCCGCTAGATCCGCCAGACGTCAAGTAGCAGCCCCCAATGTACCAGATTATACTGTTCTGTTCCAAAATCCGGAGTTTGCACGTGGGTTCGCCGCTCTGATGGCTCAAACAATCCCTGGAACATCAACGACTCCACCAGGACATTCTATAATACCCACGACTCCCGCTAACCCGCAGATTCCACCAGCACAACAAGACGGTGGCAGAACCACCTCTCACGCCACGTCTCAACCTCGCAGTCGAACGTCGCAGCCGCACCCAGAACAAACCACACGTCACGCCGACGTTAGGCATACTCCCCTTGTGATTACTCGTGAAGAAACCGTCGAGAGTCAGTCTGGACACTCACGGCATTCGCCACCTCATACACGACACCGAATCCCCTCTAACCCAGCGCAGATCGACCTTCGTCAACACATTGAAAGAAATTGAGCTCGCCAAGAATCATCCGAACTTGAAACGTTGCGACGAATGATCGCCGAATTAGAGAGTCGGCAAAGGATGCCCGAAGATCCTCCTCGACGGGCCTCGACCTCGGCGCAAGTATATGTGGAAGCCGACTCCCCTCTCACGCCTGAGCTCACCTCGGAACTTGTACCGAGAAAAGTCAAAGTCCCTCAAATCGGACTATATAATGGCACGTCGGATCCTGACTCACACCTCGGTCATTACACATCATGGATGGATCTCCATGAGGCCTCGGACGCACTTCGGTGTTACATGTTTTCTCTCACTCTGGGGCCTCGAGATAAAAAATAGTATCATTCTTTGCCCCCTCATTCTATTTGGAAGTGGCAACAGTTGAGGTCAGCTTTCCGATCTCACTTTATCGGGGCCCAAGTTTGTTTGGTTCCAAAAGAATCCCTTGCAAATGTAACTCAAATAGACGATGAAAGCGTCAAGGAATATATTGCTCGATTTAATGACCGAGTTCAAAACATGGAGCCATGTCATCCCGAAACCCTGCTTGTTATGGCTATCGCTGGGTTGAAACCGAACTCGATTTTTTGCTGGACATTGTGCCAGAATAAACCGAACACCTTCCAAGAATTCCTTGCCCGTGCCCAGCAACATATCATTGCCGAAGAAGCAATGTCGGTCCCCGATTTTAATTTCAATCCGAAGTCATCCAAATCGGGAATCGATGACAGGAAGAAAAATAAATCTTTTGATAAACAAAGTAAGGGTCAATTCCGAGGTTACCCTCGAGGAGACGCTAACGACCCCGAAATCAGGGCAGCTCAAAAATAGTATGCTACCGACGTGAAATCTGGTTATCAAACCGTGTATTCAGCTGGGGCTACCACCATATATGAAGAGATCAAAGGAAAGGGTATTCTGCCTGATCCCAAACCACTTCGGATGCCTGAGGAAAAGTTGGATAAATCCCGATATTGTGACTATCATAAATCCCCGGGGCATAACACTGACGAATGCCTAAGTCTTTTGGCTGCCCTTTTACGTTTGATCGGTCATCCACAACTCAGGAAATTCTATCGCAACTCTGATACCCAGAACGGGGACCAGGACGCCAAATTGAATCCTATGATGAAGATGAGGATGAAGACCAAGGTGTTGCGCCGAAGCGAATTTGGCAAGGAGAAAAAGAAGTGTTCATGTTCACCTCGGAGACACTTAACATTGGGTCACCCGAAAGTTCCCGAGGACTTAAACAAAATCGATCTCCTAGGCCGATGCAAATAACGGTCCACAGAGTGAATACCAATAGTTCCCGAGGTACCTCATCCCGGCGACAAGTCAAAGCCTACGCCCGGCAAGCATACAACTCCGGCAAACAAGTTTTTACTACCGATCTGAGAGACGTTCTTAATGCTCGGAATTGCCCTATTACTTTCAACATGGAAGATGCGAATCATTTTGGACACCCTCACTCTGACGCACTTGTCATCACCGTTCCAATATGTGGGATTCCAGTACACCGTGTCATGGTCGATACTGGGGCCTATTCAAGCATTTTGATGCTGAAAGCTTTTGACAAAATGGGTCGTGATCCCGCCGACATCCGACCTTGCAATGACCAAATACAAGGTTTCAACGGGAGCATTTCATGACCTATAGGCGAGATTACTTTACCTGTCAGGTTCGGTACAGCTGAACACGTTACAGAGCTTGTTATGGAGACCTTTAAGGTTCTCGATATCAACAACAAATATAACGCGATCATCGGAAGGACTGCTCTGTATAAACTCCGAGCTGCGGTTTCCATTTTTCATTATGCACTTCAATTTCCAACGACACGTGGTGAATGAACACATTATGGAGATCAAAGGGAAGCTCGAGAACTTATCACTTTTATACCATCCACTGGAGTCCATTATGTCATTTCGGTCAACGAAAGAAATTCCTTGCCATTGGCCACTTCGGCCAATACAATTTCCGAAGAACCGAGTCATGATGTCGTTATCCCTGTCACTTCCGACCCTTTATCGGAGGACCGAGGGAGACGACCCGGAAAAGAACCAATCCTAGAAGAAGATGAATTGGACCCAAGAACTCAATTCAAAGAGAATGATCGAGCCGAACCCGGAGAAGAAGTGGAGTTGATTTATATTAACGAACCAGCATGCCAAAAATCATTGCGCATTGGGAGTCATCTCCAAGAACCTCTCCGGTCTGAACTCATCTCGTTCCTTAGAAATAATTCTGATGTTTTTGCCTGGAAACACGAAGACATGAAGGGCATCGACCCCGGTGTCGCTAGCCACAAGTTAAATCTTGACCGAACTGTCCGGCCAGTTGTTCAAAAATGAAGAAAACTGGGACCGAATCGTCAGAAAGCATTGGAGGAGGAAGTCAAGAAACTCATCGACAACAAGTTCATTAAGGAAGCCAAGTATCCGACATGGGTCTCAAACCCAGTCCTTGTCAAGAAAAGTAATGGCCTTTGGAGGTTATGTATTGACTTCTCCAATCTGAATAAAGCGTGCCCAAAAGGCAGTTATCCACTTCCTCACATAGATTACATGGTCGATGCCACCTCGGGACACGAGCTGATGAGCTTTATGGATGCTTATTCCAGTTATAATCAAATTCCTATGGATCCCGAGGATTCGGAGCACACCTCGTTTTATTCTGCCCGAGGCCTGTACTGCTATACTATGATGCCCTTCGGATTAAAAAACGCTGGAGCCACTTATCAGCGTCTCGTCAAAAAGATGTTTGCTAATTTGATAGGTCATACCATGGAAGTCTACGTAGACGATATGCTGGTCAAGTCGGTAAATGCTTCCGATCGTGTCACACATCTTCAAGAAATGTTCAACATCCTTCGAACTTATTCCATGGTCTTAAATCCGAAAAAATGCACCTTCGGAGTCGAGTCTGGGAAATTTCTCAGATATATGGTCAGTCAACGGGGAATTGAGGCCAATCCGGCCAAGATCAAAGCCATTCAGGATTTAACTCCCCCGACCTCGGTTAAGGGTGTTGAGGCCCTAACCGGCCGACTTGCCGCGCTTAATCGGTTCATTTCCAAGTCTACAGATCGTTGTAAACCTTTTTTCGAAACCATTAAAAAAGGAAAGCGTTTTGAGTGGACCAAAGAGTGTCAGAAAGCGCTCACCAACATTAAGGAGACTCTTGCTTCTCCTCCGACGTTACAAAAGCCAAAACCCGAAGAAATGCTGTTCTTGTACCTAGGGGTCAGTGATACGGCAATCAGCGCCATCTTGATATGTGAAGAAGGGACGTTATAGTCACCTATTTATTATGTCAGCAAGGCCCTACATGATGCCGAACTACGCTATCCCCCTATGGAGAAATTAGCGTTTGCACTTGTCACTGGTGCTCGGAAATTACGACCTTATTTTCAAGAACATTCCATTATTGTCCGCACTTTGTATCCACTACGACAAGTCCTACACCGACCTGACACCTCGGGGCGAATGATAAAATGGGTCGTCGAACTCGGACAGTTCGACATTCACTATCAACCGAGAACTGCGATTAAGGCACAAGTCCTATCCGACTTCATTGCCGAATTCACGCCGGCTGTAGAAGCTCACGATGATAACCAACCATGGGTTCTCTACATTGACGGATCCTCCACAGCAAACCGAGCAGGGGCTGGAATCGTTTTGGCTAACTCAGAAAACCGATTATTCTGTCATTCGGTTAAATTTCTATTTCCCGCTACCAACAATGAGGCTGAATATGAAGCTTTGCTATCTGGATTGAATTTAGCTGAATCCATGAACGTGAAGCACCTCAAAGTCTTCTCAGACTCACAACTCTTGGTCAATCAAATCAATGGTTCGTATGAAGTCAAGGAACCTCGGTTGACACCATATCTATCCTTGGCAAAACAGAAGTTATCGAAATTCTCTGTCGATGTCAAACACATTCCCTGAACTCTTAATATACAAGTAGATGCATTCTCCCGACTAGCCTCAAGTACCGGGATGGAGAGCATGGAGTATGTCCAAGTCGGTCAGCAGAAACAACCATCGACCCTCCTTTCCGAAGTTGCAACCATCGATCCGGTAACATCACAAAAACTTCCGACTTGGATGGATCCCATTATTCAATACTTGGAAACTGGGGATATTCAGTCCCACTTCTAAAATGTTTGACTGAATCTGAATCGCGATACATTCTTGAAGAAATGCATGAAGGGATTTGTGGAAGCCACCCTGGTGCTTCAATGTTTCTCATAGCGGCTCGAGATTGTTGTTACAATAATGATCTGCTAGTGCCCAAGTCTGAGATAATATGTACTTGAATTACACAGGCATGAATGTAATTTTACCATATTATTACATAACAAATGGAGTTAAGACAATGTTTGTAATACAACATATTTATATAACCAAAAAAAAATGAAAAACGAAAATGGAATTGTGGTTCAATTTACGTACCTCAAGTGCTTCCTTCTGAATGTCCTCGTCAAGATAGATGATTTTTGCGTGTATGTCGAAAACACCCAATGGACAATCCATAAAATATTTAAATGTTTGATACCTTCTTTTAATACCTTGAATGTGGTATAACATTATTTCATAGTCAAATTCTGGCCAATTTCACCTAAGCAACTTGTGTAAATGTTATCAAACGCCATATCTATGTACAACTTGGAGTTCAACCCTTTTGACTGGATGTAATGTAGAAGGATGGAACAAAAAGATTTTGTTATCATCCGAATCGGTAAATCAGGGTTATTAGCCTCAGACTGTATTTAAAAGAAATTATTACCAATAATGACGTGATCCACAATCATCTCGGTCCACATACCGAACCGACCAAGCTATAGAAGACCGAGCTGATCCTCGCAACCGAGGTCATTCCAGAACCGAAGTCAATATAAACCGAGGTCACCACCTCCTAAGCTGGTGACAAGGCGCCTACACGCCATTCTCACAAACCACGAGATCAGGTGGGACCCGCTGACAAATGCTGCCCATCAAAAGTAGCTTTATGAAAAAAAGCAATGCACGAATCCCGATATGTATCCCAAAAAGTTACTATAAATAGCAAACTCATGATCGGGATTCGATCCCTGAACTGAAATTTTTACCATGAAACATGAAACAACTCACATAAGCTTTTCACCTCGGTTCACCTCGGACCGGGGCCATTGTTGAGTTTTTATCTCATATGTTGCGTTCAAATCACTAAACTTAATCAATTAAATCTACTTTCGATCGTTGTTAACAATCGCATAACAACAGATTCCTCAGCTGCTGGAAGCCATTTGTTTGAAAAGCCTTCCCGTATATAGCGAAAATGTTCTTCCTTTGTTTCTGGTAATGATAAACCCCACATGATTGTAAAGAAAATCAAATAATGGACGTTGTGCAGTGGTGATAATTGAAGGAATACATTTATAGTGAAACCCATGTAGGTATATATATATATGCAAAGTCTGTTGGTGATAATTGAATTGGATATAAAGGTATACTGTGTGCTGGCCATTGTTATGGTACAATTACATATGCATGTTGTGTTTCAGTTGTACATTAGTAAAATATGGACAAAGATATATGGATTCAAACGTTGCCGACCCCAAATCAGCTACATTCACGGTACATAAACTTTGCCCTATGCCTATGGTCGTACATGTTGTTTTTTTCAATTACAACTCATTTCCTTTTTCATTTTCAAAACTTTGCCCCATGCCTAGTCATGCCTAGTGATGGAACTACAGGTTCATTTCTTTCGACATGAATATTTTTCGTATACATTAAAAATAACTTTTACAATTCATATATGTTTATAATATGTATATAATTATTATCTTTATATACATTAAAAATAACTTTTATATATGTTCTTATTTATTACAATTTTACGTAGCATGCACATACTTTTCGTAATAATAAAACTCATACACCAAATCATGAAATCTAATTTTATATAGAAAATAACTTTACCAAACTAAAAATTAATTTATATGTTGTAAGTACCTAAAAAAATTATTATGTTCTAGTAATTGCAATTTGATATATTTATTACAAAAAAAGTTGTGTGTTTCTGTGATTGTATTATATACACTATTTTTGAACTCCATCTTGAACCTTTTTTATTTTATAATATATAATGGTGACATTTTTTCTTTGCAGATAAAAAAATGGTGTGGTTGCTTTCGTCAGTTTCAGATTCCCGGCATGAGTGACGAGTGTCAGAAAGATAACAAATGCGGTATGGGCAATCAACACGCGGTACATTATGGAGAGACATGTTTTGCATGTGAATCTTTTCTGTAAAAAAGCTTCCCACTACAACTCATGCATTTTTGTCATCTTTTGGCATTACGGAGAATCTTTTTTTATAACATTACTTTCGGTATATGCAGATTTTTTTATAACTTTTTTTATTTCTACTTTTCTTTTCCATTTTGTTCATGCACATATGGACACTGTTTTATGTAAAGAAAAAGGCATAACAATTAACTCAAGTTAATTGGAAAATCGAACAACATGAAACGTGACCTTAATAGAACATAATAGTATATTAAAATTGGTCCAATTTTCATTTCCAACTAATATAAT